GACTCTGTCAGAAATCCTGATTTGGAGAAATTCAGAAGGTATTATTTGGTAAAGAATTTTCGATCAAAAGTCAATGGCTGTCCAAGTTGTGGCGCTTTTTCCTTGATTGATTAACTTCCTTTTTTTACTTTAAGCGAGTTAATCACTTACGTTTAGTTTTAGAAGTCTTAAGTAGTCAAAAAATTTTGTATGTAATGTGATTTGGGTGAGCGATATTGGCATAAGCAGATCCAGGGCAGTCTCCTGAGGGTGGGAGATTTTTATTCCCTCCCGTTCATTACTATACCGGAAGTCCCACCTTCCTCCCTTCCCCTCCCCTCAATCGTCCCGCTACCCCCTCCCGACCAGTCTACTCTGAAATGCGACGACGATTGAGGAGGACGGGGGAAAACTCCTGGGGAGAGGGAGGGGGAGGGCGGCACAGGGTATCGAACAGAGTTTTCTTTAGTAAAACAGCTACTACCTTAGCCCCTGAGGGGGCGAAAGGCCCCTCGCCTCCCCCTTCCGCTGGATCCGCCAGTGGATATTGAATGATCGTCTAACTAATTTTAATTACTCGTTAAATCTGTGCCCTGAATATCTAATGGTTGCCAGTTGAACAGATTTTTATTCTCATTACTATTTTCATGCGAAATATATTTTTCAAGAATTGCAGGTAAAACTTTGCATTTTTTTACAAGTTTTGTTCAGATGAGTTTTTGAAAGATTCTGATCCTTTGGGATCCGAGTTAAAGTTCTGATTTGTATTTCACCCCCTAAAAAAAGCAAATATACTCAAAATTTTTAGTATGTGCAAGTAAAGGTTTCTAAGAATTCGTTTGCATATTTTTCTATGTGATCCGTTTTGCATTTCCTTTATTTCATTTTTTTGATTTGCAGTTGCTAACTCAATTAAGCAGTCGGTCGAACCGGCGATTGCTGATGGGCTTACAGATGGCCGATATTGCGCCTGCACTCGCAACATTCAATCATCGACTCGTTGGTTTTATTTTGACTTTGCGCGCCTTTCTTTTTCACTGATATGATAAATGCTGCTGATATGATAAATTTTTTTTCTTTTTAGATACCTCTACCGGGACAGGAACACAAGAATTTTGCTGACGTTGTAATGTTAGAACGAATCAGCAAGCAAACAGTTATTTTGCCGACAAAAACGCGACCACGAAAACTAGTTTTTCATGGATCGGATGGCAAAGAGTTAGTTTTTTCTTGCTTTTTTTAACTTGTATGTATCTTTTATGCGCGTTCAAATTACTTGATTCAACTGTAATTTGTATTTGACTAATCCAACTATGCACTTTGCGACTTTTTTAATTCTTTTGAACAGTGCCGGTCAGCGTGCTGGTGATCTTAACATTCGTTTGATCTCCTGAAGGAATTTTTCGCTCGGTGGCTTTCGTAGCAATACTTAACAAGGCCTTATTCGTTTTGAGGTGTTCTTGGTGGAGTTGGGCATAATTTGTTCTGGATTAAGCAAAATGTCTCGGTGTTGTCACTCCTAAACTGTGATGAGGTACCATACCGAATAGGAAGTTTTGTGTGCATATAAATTACAAAACAGCACAATTTTAGTCTTTGTTAATGATTTCGGTATAATTTTTGGTAGTAAATTGATTCAAAAAAAAAAACCGCTGCTGCTCGGTTGAGTAAAATTTTCCTCCCATTCCTTTGTGAGGTTGAATTGGTTCAGTTTTGTGAAAAGAACTGGAACAGCTTACTCATTTCTGAGTAGATAAAAAATCATTTTTGAGTAGCTGTTATTTCATTGTTCTAACTGGTAAGCCGATTGTAGCATCCAGGTTGACGTTAGATGCCAAAGTGTTGAAGGCGTATTGGACACAGAAAGCAGCAAAAAATGAGAAAAGGAGGCAAGAATGAGATAAAACGTTTCGCTCCATTAAGTTATATGAGTCTTAATGTTTCACGATACGGCACGTTCTCAACTGTGTTCTTGCTTTGCCCAGCTAATTTCATATTGACTTTCAAGCGAATACTTTCTTCTCATCAGTGTTCTTCATTGTTTTCACTTCATACAAAAGGAAACCTGTTTTTTTTCAGC